CCTCTTAATGTTCGAATAACTCCAGCGATCCTCAAAATCAGAAAAATTAGTGTTCAGCATTCAAGAGCCTTTTTAAGTGCACACAATTCTACTACTCCGTTGAGACTGATAGTCATTTGACTACGCATCCGGTCCAAGTGTGAATCACAGGGCCGGTGAACTCGGTCCCGTGACAATCGTTCCATGCGATGCCGATATATGTTGAGGGGATTTGTCATCAAGAAAATGGCTGGATTGAGCGGAGTGATCCCTTAACTGTAGAAGTGGTAGTGAACGGCAGCCGTCCTGATAATGAGACATTTCCCTACTGCAACATCTCCGCTATACTGCCGGCAGCGGTTCTCGACTGAATATTACTCGAAGGATTATTTCACTACAAGATAATCGAAGGGGGACATCAGGATGAATAGTGAAGTGGGTAGTAAGTGTGAGAATAGTGTTGAACGTGTGCGCGGAGAGCACAGACGGCTCTCGCGTGGTGGGAGTGAATGTACGAGCGAGAGAGTGTGACCAAACAGGCGAAATCCTCGACGAGTTGTCGATATATCCCCGACCGAGTGCCACCCTGGTGGACTTGCCTCAAGTATGATAACTAGTGATGCTGCTCCCATATACATGGGTGTGATTGTAGAAAAGCAAAGGCTAATCTACCCTCTTAATCATGAAGTGGGTACTGTGCTATCAAATTTATGTATAGCGTAAAACGTGGTACATCAAGCGATAAAGCAACCTTTTCGTGGGCCGGAGGCTCATTCAGAAGCCATGAGTATTCCGAAAACGATTCCAATGCATGGAGCACTCCAGACGACCAGACGAGAACCATCTGGCATAGTTCATCCCCCATCTACCCTCTATCGCTTATGCTTTTTGATGCTTTTAAGATCTATTGCGTGACAAGAAACATCTCTGCAAAGATCACCTTTTGAAGCTTTCACAAAAATGCTCTCAAAGGCGCCTTGGGATCGAACACTTTGCTTTGTGCTGAAATTTCCCATCATTAGAATTCTGAAGGGTGTACTTTTGAAGCTCCACACATTCACGTACATTTTACGAATGGAATATTCTATAATTTTTCAAGGATACATGTATGTGCATATGATATGTATTCGCACACGAGGTACACCTCATTCTCTTGATACTAATGTTGTTCATGCTCAAACGTCCTTCACCCCAGTGGGGGTACATATCCATACAAACCTCTCGAAATGCGACTCAAAAAACCAGTTATCCAAGGCGTCATACCTTTGTGAACTACTAAATAATAAATAACTATTAACAGTAGGAATTGAATTTGGAGAGTGTTTGTTAAAAATGTAGTGAGACCAAGTGTTTAAGCTTTGCCATCGAGAATTCCCTACGTACAGAAGAATGCACGTTTTCAATCTGGTTCTTTCAGTCAATTTCGAAAATTACTCAGCAATTTAATATCCCCGCACTGAATTCGCGAATTGGACCCACCTCTACAGTTGCGAGCCCTGCAGTCTCATTAGGGGAGGGGGCTGCGCCAACGAACCTCGTCGTGGCTTGTGCCTTTAAAGCTACGTTTCAAGTCTGCGATCAGGTTGATTCGGTAGAATGGCTTGGCCGGCTGGGTGGCTAAAAAATACTCTTCAATCTAAATCTGAGATGCAAAGTGCGAACTCGTGTGAGCGATTTCCGATAAATGGCCCTAATGCAGAAGGTGGAAGGATGAGGTGTAAGAGCTGATATGGTATATGTGATTAGCCAAAGAAGATGAAAATATTCTAAAAAATGTGTAGTGGATTTATTTCAGCGATGCACGTATTTAGACATTGGAGCGAAAGAATCCGCTCCATTTCGCGATTCATTGGGGGACTCGGATCTGTGCTTCCTGAAGTTGTTTTTACCATAGCGGTCATCAAAACCAGACTGCCTCATTTTTGCTTCATTAACGTGACGGTAAAGGACGGTAGGTAATTTACGCCGTACGGTCTTTCTGGTTTAACACGCTTGCGAATGGGGCGGTGTTTTGGCTTTTTCGAGAAGCGTGGGACCGGCGGCGATTTGTGAGCGCGTCGGCGTCACCCACTACTGTGGGTTGTTGAACTGAAAATACGCAAAACTCGCATGTAACACAATGTTTCCATAGATGTGTAAAGCGGGAGCTACAGTAATGGAAATTCGACCAAAATAAGGTGTTATGGCTAGGAGAACGTACTGATCGTGCATAGTACAACTGCCCGGGAAGGTAGGGAGGGGTTTAAATCATTTGGTGCGAGGTTCTTCCATAACAAGTCATTGCTAATGGCGTTTGGAACGCTATACTGCAGGTGATAAACAGCGGTTACAACCAGAAAAGTGAGAATTTCCTTTCATTCCATATAGATGCCAACTGAGAAATTAAGGGAACGAGTCGAAGGTCTGAAGCCTCGGTCGGAATACCTCGCTGTTCAGAATTGCTTTCATTGGTTAGGCACTGGATTTTATGTTTCTAGTGATTTGAGATTCGCTCACCTTTTCAGTATTCTCACCAGTTGACGAGTGTGGTGTGAAGAAACCGATTACGGTAACGATTGTGATGAAAGCAGAAGGAATGATCAGCGTAAAAAGGTAATACGACGGGTTGCGCTTGATGGCGAAAAAATACGAGATATCCGGATACGGATTGGGGCAGCAGTCGTAGTATCCTAAATTTTTTTTCTGCAACTAAATGATTGATTGATGGGTTATCATTAGGTCTTACTTCAGATTACTTCTGTACTTGAAGTCGACAAGTTTCCATTCCATATTAGGAATATAGTGATTCAGCGCGGCGAGATTGGTCCTGAGAGGATTTTGTTGCGAATGCCTGTCAATTCAGTCCCTTATGTAACTAACTATGAACATGCAACATGCAATGCCCATTCCTCTCGAAGTTCAGGTTCAAGGATTCAAATAGGCGAAGATATGCCTGTCTGCATTGGAAAAAGCGTACCAGACGCGCCGGCACGCATCGCGTTGTTGGTGACGTATTTATGACGCCGAGGGAAACGAGCAAGAGCAGGCGTTCCCCAATTCTCAATTAATTGGGATACTAACAACTTTGTATGTACTCTTAATTCAATGTGTAGGTTTAGGTAGTGGATGTAAGGGGAGATCGAATCAAGCATTGAGCTCAGGGAGTGAAGATGTTGCTCGATTATGCAATCCTAAGAGTTTACCACCAGAGTGTTTTGCACTTTCTTCTCTTCCATTGCGAGCATTGCAAACTCGGGAACATGCGTAAATACAATCATTTACGCTTCCCGCACTGAGCTTGGTTGATAGGCTAATGCTGAATGTTCTAGCGGTAACTCCTTTCTATTCGAAGCACCAATGTCAGGGGTCGACCGGACTCATCCATCTCCTTCCTGCCCCCAGCGGTTGATTCATAGCACGGCGCTCGGCGTCCGCTCCGCCCGCGTTAGCTTTTCTCTCTTGGTCGGATGCACAAGCAAGGAAACGAACGTTTGTGAGAGTGATTACTTCTGACGAGGTGATCGATATTACATCCGCTTCATTTTTCCACGTTCGACGGAATATCAGTCGGTCGCTCGTTGTTGCACATTTTGGTCCACACGAGTCGCCGAGGGAGCGACGAACTTTGCGCGACATCGTCGTGCGTTAGAGGTGCGGGACTTTGGGCTCGTCCAGGCTGGCACGCGGCGAGGTGCGCAGCGGCATGCGCGGCGATCAAGACGAGGCAAGGCTTCGCTACTTCTGCAATAAATTCAACACGTCAACGCGTCTGCAAGACGCTGAGAACTTCTGCATGGTTTGCACAGGGTCAACCGTCACGTTCGAACATTTTCGGGATTTTTGCGACCCCCTAGCTCTCGAGGGGTCCAGTTGCGACCCCTGTTTTTGTTAATAAGAGTGCTAGACATGAATCCGTTGCGCCAGAAAGCGTCTGCGCGTCGTCGCGTCGGCCTTGGAGCGCGGCAGGTATCACCCGGGCGCTGGAAGAACGGACGCGGCGAAGAAAAAATTTTAGAGGGGAATAACTTTCTTGGGACGTTTTTTTGACTTGTTGAGGTAGATTTTGATTGTGCCTGAGGTGCGCTTCCAGAAAACTACAAGGATTGCCTAACTCTCCGGAAAGTACTTCTGTTAGAAGTGGAAAACCCAAAATTCTAAGAAGGCGCACCTTCAACTTTGAAGGCCCATAAAATCTTTCGTATGCGACATTTTGGAAATCTGTAAAAAGTTTCAGAAACTTCAAATATTTCTCTAACAAAACAGTATAAAAAGTTTAGTGATTGTCCCCTTTTTCAAAAAATTGTCCCGTTCGAACATTTTTCGTGCAAAAGCGAGTTTTTGGGCTTTCAGCGACCATAACTCACTTCATTGTTGAGGAGGGTCGAAGACATTTTTGAAGACTACGAGATTTCTGCTTTCTTATGTGTTTTACCGTTGTCTGGAAGAATCGTCCTCAGAAAATCAGGTCCCGAAGAACTTTAATTTCAGCCCCGAGAAGTCAAACCTTTCATAGGGATGCATTCAACTGTTCTCTATTCCTCAAGGAAAACACCGTAATTTGCCTAAAACTGTCTCTCTGTGCATAATTAATCGAATCTAATGCGGTCTGCACAAACAATTCTTGCCCTCGGATACGCCACGCACGCGCCTGTGGCTGGCAGTCCTCGAAATTGCGACCCCCTTCCGACCAAAATGCGACCCCTTCGTTCGAACAGTTCGAACGGACGGTTGACCCTGGTTCTGCAGTTTGGAAAAACTTTCCGCACGTGCAGATTTGAATGCAGCGGTGTCAGTGAGATTTTACGATGAAGAGATGAGAGAGAGAGTTCATTAAAATGTCACTACCACCAAAGCGAATAAAACACTAATTAGGAGTTCTTACCGAGGTACAGTTTTAGTGGCAACTGTATATGCTGCTGATCTCGGTAGTCATGACCCTAGGGCGAACATGCAAAACAGAGTCGTTGGTAGGTGGCACACTAGATATGACTAAGTTCAGGAGAGGGAAAAAAATTCAGGAAGAACACAATTGCTCTCGAAGGAATCCCTTCGCTTCTTGAGGATCGTACTGGCACATTAATTGGCTGACTTCACTTGATGTCCTGACAACCCTCCCCGAATGGACATTGATGCATCCCTTACCGCTGTTGCTCTTCTCATCTTTTCCCAACTAAAGCGTCCTTAGAATTTGCGCTATCCTCGAATCTCCGCGCCTTCGCAAGTAATTGGAATAGCTGAATTTGCTGAGTTCATCCGCGATCTGAACACGCTTTATCATGTCAAATTCCACAACATAACATGAGTCCTGGTATTGTTTTGGGCGCACCTAAAGTGCAGTTTAAATAAATAAATAAATAAATAAATAAATAAACATAGGCCGCAAGACTTGCCTCGTCCGGATGCGCCGAAGCCCGCCGGCATTGCGACGTATCAACTGGACGACGCTATAGTCGTGTCGCCGTGCGTTACTAAGTTAAAGTGTGGCAGCAAAATAATAGGCCGCAAGTCCGCGCGCGTTCAAATCACGGCGTTCGGCCCGAGAGGTTGAAACCACTCATTTCTGCAATCGTTTGCGCTTTCTTTCCTGAATAGCTAGTAGGACGCAGCTCATTGCTACTGAATCGTTAGACCTGCAAATCGCCCTGGAATTGTGGTCAATAAGGAACTATGAAATGCAGAGAAGAACAGAAATTAAGCGCTTTCAACACGTAACCTGAATCATACTCCCAGTCACTGCACACCCGTACGCGCGTCAGTACTGCTGCTACACATTCCTGGCTCACAATCGAACAATTCCGAAAGATGGAAGGCTGGGATTGAATGAAAGTTATGCTGCGGCTGCTTATTTGCTGCATTTCCTTATCAAAGGGCTGCTGTCACCCGACTACGGGTGGAATCTTGACAGTTTTGCTATGGATCCCAACTTATATAGCTAATGGATCAAAACTACCCTCCCCTTTCAAAAAGCGAGAAAGTGTCGGGTGCAGACCATGCACCACAAGTGACGACGGCCTTCACAAAATGTTAATGTTTTCTGCCAATGAAATGATTAGCCTGTTGCAGTTGTATTCTATCGATTGTCACTAATTACAACTATCATTTACCAGAAATCAGCTATCACTATGAACAACTACTTGAAGAGCCGTCGTCAGTTGTGGTGTTTGGTCTGCAACCCGACACTTTCTCGGGTTTTGAAGGGGAGGCTTACTAGGATAAGATAGAACTACAGCTAGAGTGTTGATGCTTAGCGATAATGACGTCAACCGCTTTTGAAGCATCTTTAGAAAAAATATCACTAGCCGACACTTGAATCCACTCACAAAAGTCGCCAAAATTTCCTACACCCTCCTCTATCTGGTCACTTAGCCACTCCGCTTGGTATGGATATCGGCAACGAAGTCACGTTCACGAAGATGGCATTTACTTATTTCCTCATGATTATTTATGTTGAGGTAAGACGGCTGGAGGATAAGATACAAACGAAGCATCTTGATGTGGGGATTGGGTTCTGTCCTTTTGGGGTGTGGGGGCGTAACAAAGAGGTTCAGCAGTTTAACAACCAACCTATTTGTGCTCGGCTCCGCAGTAGGCTCCTCGGCTGTGTAAAGCATGATTTGTGAGCCGTCGTAGGACCACGACGCCAATAAAAGGTAGCAGATTTGCTGAAAGCATTACCTCATTGTTATGTTATTTTTTGAGGGACTGTGTTCCGGATAGAGATGGGAACACGCGAGACCTTCTCACAATCAGGAATTTTACTATAGCGAGATGGCCGAGTTCCAGCACAACCAACTCGCAACAAGTTAATGGAGAGTATACTGAAAGGCCCTACTAATGGAGTGCAGATTTAGTTCATGTAACTAATCCTCTAAGGTGTTCCACCCTGTGGCTCAGTCAGTAAGTTTTTGTCTACGCTTCCACACGATGAAGGCGTAGCAGTAATGGCAGGTGATATCGCTACTTCTTACGGGCACAATCAATCCGTGGTCAAATTTGGGGAAATCAGTTAAGGCATAATATCTCTCCAGAATTGGCA